GGTCGGGAGCAGCCACTGCACTCCAGTCTGGGCGACAGAGTGAGACTCCAACTTAAAAAAAATAAAAATAAAAATACTAAATTTGTCCTTAGCTAGAAGTGAATTGGCTACATACATCTAGTAACATCTCTTCTACGTTGATTCCTCAACTTGGGGATACTCATGTTTCTTAGACTTTGCATCTTATTTATTTGCTATTTTCCTTTCTCCATTTTTTCCTCTGTCTTGTCGAATTAGCAACTTCAACAAAACTTGCAAGACCTGTTAGAGTCTATGTATTGTTAAAGCTAATATTAGAGATATGCCCATATGCACTTGGCAAAGACACAGGTATACCAGAAATTCTTGTCTTGTTTGCAGAGAAAGTTGATGAGGCTCTAGTTATATCAAAGGCAAGTAAATGAAAAAGCAAAACCATTCTCTCAGGAGGATGTCAGAAGATTAGGTGGTATAAATACTGTTTTAAGATGTTTACACAGTGTCTAGGAAACATTCACTGTAGAAGAAGAGTATGGAGAACTAAAAGCGATGTGGCTTGTTTTAATTTTGAACAGGAATGATTAATTTCCTGCTGACTCTTACTCTGGGCACTAGAATTTTTGCTTCTGTGCTGTAGAGAAACTACCTTTGGACTTGTCTTCGTGTGTTTACAGATTTATAATAGTTAGAAGAAATTTTAGGATAGAATAAAAAATAAAGGTGCTTACTAGGCCTTGGTGAGTATACAAAATGAGCAAATAATAATCAACCATCTTTTGAATTGCTCTACTTTTATTTTTGGAGATAGTTGACAAATATTTACCTTTTGATTTGCTCAGGAAGAATAAGAGATGATAAATTTTTAGGTTATAAGTGAATAGAAGTGGTCAAACCTTGTGATTTAAAAAGTAGTAATAATTACAAAATGCCAGTTGCATAAACTATCTTTAAAACTATTACATTGGTTTCCAACTCTATTTTTTCTCATTTCCCAAACTATTAGTAGATTTATTTAATCAATATTTAATGTGATTGAGGAGATAATTAACCACTTTTGAATTGCTCTAATTTTATTTTTTAAGCTAATTGACCAATTTTTAGCTTTCAATTGGCTCAGGAAGAATAAAAGATAATCCTTAGATACAAATGAATAGGAGTAGTCAAAGCACACCCATTATGTGCTTAGCATTATGCTAAATACTAAGGTGAATATAAAATAGTTTAATGTATTGTCCCTGCCCTCAAGAAACTTGCATTCTAGTTGTGGAGACAGAGATACATACTTTTTAAAAGCTAAGTAACTCAAAGGCGCATCAACAGAAGAATGGATAAAAATGAATCATCCATTTATTTAAATGAGTATGAATATGTTTTCTGTACGGAACAAAAATGGACATTGTTATACAACTTGTATATATTTCACAGTACATTCAGTAAAAAAAAGCCAGACACAAAAGTATATATACTGTGTGATTCCATTTATAGGAAACTCAAAAAACTACTGTGTTTGGGGCTACATATTTAGGTGGTAAAATTATAAAGAAGAGAATTACTATAGTTTTTAGGCTAGTGGTTATCTTTGCGTAGGGGATGAAAGAAGGAAAAGACTGTTAGTGATTAGAAAAGAAAATAAGGGAGTTTCTAGGTGGTAACAATTTTCTGTTTCTGAACCTGGAGGAAGTTTCATATATCTTCACTTTGGGATAATTGAGCTTTTCACTTTTGTTCTGTGTACTCTTCTGTGTGTATATTATTTCACAATACAAAAGATTTTTAAAAAAATAAACAAAAGGCAAGTTTCTGCATGTTAGTTAAAGCAATGAGCCAGGGGAATTAGAGAGGAGAAATCTTCATAGGTTGGTAATCTGGAGAAGAACAGAAGGCAGAAAAACAAGGCATGCCTTTAGGAATCTTAGGATTCTCCACGTGAATGGAGAAAAGGAAACATATTTTGGATGCAGGAGCCTGAGTGAACAAAGGTATTCAAGGTATTTTGAGCTCAGTGGGTCTCGGAGATACTGGAGTAGGCCAGTATGACTGAAGTAGGTGGAGAACAATGGGATTCAAAATTGGTAAATTCGATTCAAACCAGATTGTAGAAGATTTCGATTGGACAGGGAGAGGCTTTTAGACTCTTTCCTTTAGATAAAAGAGAGTCAGCCTAATGAAAATAGCAAAGCCCATTTAATTTTTGTGTCTAAATTAAGGTCTTAATAAATTTTTCTCTATGTTCTGTGTGAGTATATGTTTTAATGTGTATGCAGTTGCTTGCTTTGTCCATAATTTGTGGTTTGTGACGTGGCAAAAAAAAAAAATCCTAAATGTTAAACTTTGTATCCCAAACTCTCAAAGTTAACTTTTACTGAAGAGTTCCATAAAATCCTCTGTTTAGAGCCCAATACTATAATTTTCATAGAAACTGTATCTGCTTCAAAAGATAGATAATTTGGCTGGGCACAGTGGCTCACATATATAATCCCAGCACTTTTGAGAGGCTGAGGTGAGAGGATTGCCTGAGCCCACGGCAAGACCTCATCTCTACAATAAATCAAAATATTAGCCAGGCGTGTTGGCGCATGCCTGTAGTTCAAGCTACTTGGAAGGCTGAAGCAGAAGGATCACCTGAGCCCAGCAGGTCGAGGCTGCTGTGGCTGTGAGCGTGCCACTGCACTCCAGCCTGGGCAACAATGAGAGACTCCAACTCAAAAAGAAAAAAATATATAATTAGGAAATAATATAAGGAGAATTATAGGCCTACAAAGGATTGACAGTAAGGCGCATATTCAAATTGTTTGTGAAATATTGTTATGCCATTCTTTGTTGTTTTGAATCAGGGTCTTACTCTGTTACCCAGGCTGTAATGCAGTGGCACAATCATGGCTCACCACAGCCTTGATCTCCTGGGCTCCGGCAAGCCTTCCACCTCAGCATTCCAAGTAGCTGGGACTATAGATACGCACCATACCCGTCTAATTTTTGATTATTTGTAGAGACAAGGTCTTGCTATGCTTCCTGGGCTGGCCTTGAACTCCTGGGCTCAAGTGATCCTCTCAACTCAGCCTCCCAAAGTACTGGGATTATAGGCATGAGCCACCGTACCCAGCCTGTTAGCCCATTCTTAAGATTTTTCTGAGGAGTAATAGCTGCCACAAACTCTTAAATATTAAGCTTCATTGTTTTACTTTAAAACAATAAAAAAATTTAAATGTAATTTGAAGTCTAACTTTTCAAGCACAGTTAACGTTAGAGATTCTCAGTTCAGGAACACTGACCTCAACTGAGAAAGGAAAACTTGAGCACCAGCATGACCAACATAAA